TACCTCCACATGATATACAAAAATTAACTCGAAGTAGATGATAGCCCTAAATGTCAGAGCTAAAACTGTAGAACCCTCAGAAGAAAACGTAGGAGTAAATCTTCATGACCTTGGATTAGGCAGTGGTTTTTTAGATATGGCACCAAAAACACAAACAACAAAAGATAGTTTATACTTCATAAAATTAAAAGCTTTTGTGCTTCCAGGGACACTATCAAGAAAGTGAAAAGATGACCCACAGAATGGGAAAATATTTGCAAATCATATCTGTTAAGGAACTTGTATCTTGAACATATGAAAAACTCTTAAAACTCAGTAGTTAAGACAACCTAATTTTTATTTATTTATTTTTTAATTTTTATTTTTTTATGATAGAGAGAGGCAGAGACATAGGCAGAGAGAGAAGCAGACTCCATGCACCGGGAGCCTGACATAGGACTCGATCCCGGGTCTCCAGGATCGCGCCCTGGGCCAAAGGCAGGCGCCAAACTGCTGCGCCACCCAGGGATCCCAAGACAACCTAATTTTTAAATGGGCAAAGAATTTGAATAGATATTTCTCCAAATATACACAAGTGACCAATAAGCACATAACAGATGTTTAACATCATTAATCTGTAGGGAAATGCAAATCAAAACTGCAGTGAGATACCACTTCACATATACTAGGGTAGTTGAAATTAAAAAGGCAGACAATAAGGATGCCTAGGTGGCTTAGTGGTTGAGAGTCTGCCTTCGGCTCAGGATGTGATCCCAGAGTCCCTCCACGGAGAGCCTGCTGCTCCTCTACCTATGTCTCTGCCTCTCTCTGTCTCTCACGAATAAATAAATAAAATCTTATTAAAAAATAAATAGGCTATGAAGAAATTGGAACCTTCATATTACTGGTTAGATTGTAAAATGCAATAGCCTCTTTAGAAAAGTTTAGAAGTTCCTCAAAATTTTAAACATAGAATTAGCACATGACCCAGGATTCTCACTGTTAGTTATACACAAGAGAAGGGAAGACATATGACCACATGAAACACAAATGGCATCATTATACATATATTTTATGTTATATAATATTGTACATGTTACGTACATTATACATAATAGCCAAAAAGAGGAAGCAACTCAAATGTCTATCAACTGATAAATGGTTAAGCAAAATGTAGTATGTCCATACAATGGAATATTAGTCATCAATAAAAATGAAGTACTGATAAATGCTACAACATAGATTAACCCTGAAAACATTATGCTAAGTAAAGAAAGGAACCACTCACATATAATATTAAATCTTCAGAATAGGCAAATCCATAGAAACAGACGATTAATGGTTTCTAGGGACTGGGGTGAGGGCAGAATGGGGAGAGACTGCTAATAGGTATGGGAATTCTTTGGAGGGATGATGAAAATGTTCTAAATTTAGATGAAGTGATGTTTGCGCAACTCTGAATATACTAACAACCACCAAGTTATACACTGTAAAAAGGTTAATTTTCTGGTATGTGAGTTAAACAAATACATACCATATGATCCACCCGTTTCACTTTTAGATAGTTACCCAAGAGAAAAGAAAATATATTTCCATAAAGAGATTTACACATGGGTGTTCGTAGAAGATTTGTAATAATCAAAAACTGGAAACACACCAAATGCTTATCAACATGATGTACTACTCAGCAATAAAAAGAAGTAAATTATTGATGCCTTCAACAATATGGATGAAATCAGAATAGTTTGTGGAGTGATAGTATTTACAAAAATCCTATAGCCAACATTACACTTGATGGTGAGAAACTAGAAGCTTTCCCACTAAGATCAGGAGCAAGACAAGGACGTCTCCTCTCACCTCTCCTTTTCAGTATCATGGTGGTAGTTTTAGATACTGCAAAAACACAAGAAAAGGAAATAAAAAATATACAGTTTGGCAAGGAAAAATTAAGACTCTTTGCAGATGACATAATTAAACCCTCCTAGAACTAATAAGCAGTTATAGCAAGTTTGCAAGATACAAGGTTAATATATATAAGTCAGTCATTTTGCTTTATACTGTAATGAACAAGTGGAATTTGCAATTAAAAACACAATTCCATTTAGCACCTCCAAAAACGAAATATTTAGGTATATATCTAACAGGATATATGCAAGATTTATATGAGGAAAACTATAAAATTCTGGTGTTGAAATCAAAGAGCTAAAAACAGTCCATGTTCAAGAATAGGAAGACTTGGGGTTCTGAGGTAGCTCAGTCAGTTAAGCGGCCAACTCTTGATTTTGGCTCAAGTCATAATCTCAGGGTGTAGTGATTGAGCCTCACATCAGGCTTCGTGTGGCATCTGCTTGAGATTCTCTCTCCCTCTGCACTTCCTCCCACTTGCTTGCTCGCTCTCTCTCATAAATAAAGTAAATAAAACCTTTAAAAAAAAAGACTCAATATTGTCAAGATGTCATTTCTTCCCAGTGTGACCTATAGATTCGATGCAAGCCTAATCAAAATTACAGCAAGTTATTTTGTGGAAAATTGATTCTAAAGTTTATGTGGAGAGAGAAAATATCTGGAATAACCAACATAATATTGAAGGAAAACAAGTTGGAATACTGACATTATCCAACTTAAAGGCTCGTTGTAAATAAACAGGAGTCAAGACAGTGTGGTATTTGCAAAAGAAGAGCCAGATGTATCAGTGGAACAGAATAGAGAGTCAATAAATAGTTCCATATAAGTAAAGACAACTGATCTTTGATAAAGAAGCAAAAGCGATACATTGGAGCTATGATAGTTTTTTCAATGAATAGCGCTTAAACAACTGGATGGCCACATGCAAAAAAAAAAGGAATCTAGATAGAAGCCTTACACCCTTACAAAAATTAACTCAAAGCAGGCCAGAGACTAAATGTCTAACTCAAAACTATAAAACTCCAGGAAGATAACATAGGAGAAGAACAAGATGACTCTGGGTGTGGTAATGACTTTTTAGAAAGGCACTATCCATGAAAGAAATAATTGATAAGCTGGATTTCATTAGAATTAAAACCTTCTGCTCTAAGAATGACAGTGTCAGGAGAATAGGAAGTTAAGCCATTGACTCGTAGAAAATGTTTGCAAAAGGCATATCTCATAAAGGAATGTTATCCAGAATATACAAAGAATGCTTAAAGTCTCAAAAAAAGAAAACAACTTGATTAAAAAATGGGCCAAAGATCTTAATAGATACCTCACCAAAGAAGACAGGCAGATGACAAAAAAGCATGTGAAAGATGTTCCACATCATGTATCATCAGAGAAACAAACACAAATTAACAGTAGTGAGATACCACTACACACCTATTAGAATGGCCCAAATCCAGAACACTAACATCACTGAAAGCTGGTGAGGATGTGGGGCAAAAGGAACTCATGTTCATTGTTGGTGGGAGTGCAAAATTACACAACGGTTTTTGTAAGATAGTTTAGTGATTCCTTACAAAACTGAACATACTCTTACTAAATACAATCTAGCAATCATACTCCTTGGTATTTACCCAAAGGATTTTAAAATTTTTATCTGCACAAAAACCTGTGCATAGATGTTTATTGCACTTTTATTCATAACTGCCAAAACTTGGAAGCTATGAAGATGCCCTTCAGTAGATGAATGAAGAAACTGGTATAGCCAAACAATGGGATGTACTTCAGCCCTAAAAAGAAATAAGCTATTGATCCATGAACAGACATGGAGAAAACCTAACTGCATATTACTAAGGGAAAGAAGCCAGTCTGAAAAAGTTGCATGCTGTACAATTCCACCTATGTGACGTTCTGGAAAAGACAAAACTATTGAGACCCTAAAAAGATCAGTGTTTGCCAGTGGTTGAGTGGGTGAGGGATAAATAGGCAGAGCACAGAGGATTTTTTAGGCATTAAACTATTTTGTATGATCCTATAATCACAAATAAATGTCATTATACATTTGACCAAACCTACAGAATGTACAACACCAAGAGAGAACCCTAACATAAACTAGGGACTTTGGGTAATTATCATTGTAACAAATGTACTGCTGTGGCGGGGGATGATAACAGGGGAGACTATGCATGTGTAGGGCCAGGGTGTGTATGGGAGATCTCTTCACCTTTCTGTCAGTTTTCTTCTGAACCTAAAACTGCTCTAAAAAATAGTCTTTTAAAACATAAAATGAATTGTTGATATATTCAGCAATATGAATATCAGAATAATTATGTTGAGTGAAAGAAGCTAGACACGCACAGAAAGAATATATTCTCTATGATTCCTCTTAAGACTATAAAATGCAAACCAGTCAATCTACAGTGATAGAAAGTGACAGGAGTCTGGGTAGGGCTAGACAGGGATTATAAAGGGACATGAGAAACCTTGGGAGTGTGTCCATTTTCATTATCTTGATTGTGGTGATGGCTTCAAGGGTGTATGTGATGTATATGGTGTCATGGGTGTATACATATGTCCAGATTTAACAAAGTGTATAGTTTATGGTATGTCAATTATAATTAAAATTGTTTTAAAATATGAATTGATTTATAAGTTAGTGTCAAAAGAAGAAAAATATTAACCCCCAATAATCTGTGTGGTGAGTATACAAACCAATACACTGAAATGCTCCATTAAGAGACACTAAGGATATGAGATTTTAATAGGATGATTTCTGAGAAGAAAATTTTATGACTACCTGGAGAGTTCAGATGCTGGAGAAGATAGGATGAGAAAGCATTTAAATCAGGACCATTTGAGACACTGCTGTGCTTTTCTTACTAGTGAGAGTCAGTATTTGATGCTTCTTTGGAAAGTAATTTTTTTACCCTTCATCTTACCTTCTAGTCTTTCTTTTACATGAAACCCTTCCTAAGGATTAGGGAATAGTTCAAGGCAGTTGACTCAGGCCAGCTCTAACCAATTTCAGTCCAAAACATAAATTGTCAGGTTCCATCTCGTAACATCCTTACTGAAAATGCCATTTACTCTTAGTCTTCCTAATCCCCATGGCTTGTTTTTCTCAGTCCTACACACCTCCAAGCAACGAGTTCAAGATCAGCATGAAATTGGAAGCACAGGACCCCAGGAACACCACATCCACGTGTATTGCCACAGTAGTTGGACTGACAGGTGCCCGCCTCCGCCTTCGCCTTGATGGTAGCGACAACAAGAATGACTTCTGGCGGCTGGTTGACTCAGCTGAAATCCAGCCTATTGGGAACTGTGAGAAGAATGGGGGTATGCTGCAGCCCCCTCTGGGTGAGTAACTAGACCCAAGCTCTCCTTAGCCAATTAGTTATCTTCCAAAATTGTACATCCTATTATGGGAAAGCTTAGGATCCCCCACCTATTCCTTCTTTCTCATATGGCCAAAAGAAAAGGCCCACCCAAAATGAAATGAGTTGTAAAATCTGGACATATTCTTCCCTACATTAGCTTATGATATCCAAACTTTGCTTAAGGTCTCCTTTTTCCAACTAGAAACCACACCTTCCATCCTTGTCAGTTCCTATTTACCCTCAGAGACAGAATGGAAGGAGGTCTTACCATTTAACCTGCCTCAGAAAACTACAGAGCTTTTGCCAAATCCTACAGTGATTACAAGAGGTGAGAGAAAATTTCCCAGTAAAATGATGACTGTTATTGGGGTTCCTTCTTTCCCCTAAATTCTCACTTGGTCCTTGTCATATTCTCACTTTCAATTAATTTGTATTATTTTACTTAAACTAATAACCCCACTAGATTTTACCTTTTTTTCTCTTCAGTATACCGAAGTGATTTAGCCCATCTTATCAATAACTATCAATCACTGTTGGAGTGAGTCTCAACAGAGAAGAGAGAGAGAGAGAGATGGGTGATGAGCTATGGGCTATGTTCCCCTCAGAAGGTTGTAGTAAATTGAGCATTAGGAGACAACTCGTTTGCAGGAGACCACAAGTAGTTACTGAATATTATCCCCCATTAAAAAAAATGTATTTGTAATATAAAATTCCAAACATAAAAGTAGAGTAGCGCAATGAATGCCCATGTATTCTTTATCTTTGATAATTATCAGTACATAATCAATCTTGTTTTATTTGTACCTGCACATACTCCCTGCCCCCTCCTGCCCAATTGCCCAAACATCATATCATTCTGTCATTAAATATTTAGTAACTCTGTCTCATAGATAATATTTTTAAAATGTAATCATAATGACATTATCATATGTAAATAAACTAATGATAATTTCTTAATAACCACAAATATTTACTCAGTGTTTAAATTTTACCTGTTGTCTGTCTGTCTGTCTCTCCTTCTTTCTCTCTCTCTCTTAAGTTTCTTTGAATCAGGATCCAAATAAGATCCACATATTGTAGTTGGTTGTTATGTCCTTTAAGTCTCTTTTAATCCATGAGTTCTCCTTCTCTCTTAATTTTTTCTCACAATTTACATGTTAAAGAACCTAAATAATTTGTCTTTGATATCCCTCACAATTAGATTTTGCTGATTATATCTCTGTGGTATCATTTGACATGTTTCTCTGTTCTCTCTTTCCTAGAAATTGGCAGCTAGATCTAGAGGATGGATCAGGTTCAGGTTTAATTTTTTCATAAGAATATTTCATAGGTGGTGGTGGTGTTTATTTCTAATAAGAAACATATATGGTCTTGTTATCTTTCATTTTATAATGTAGCAGCCATTACTACTTGTGGTCTAGATCAAGGGTTGACACATTCTCTTAGAGGGTTAGACAGCAAAACTTTCAGGCCTATTGGCCATACATTTCTCTGTTGGCAACTAGTCACCTTTGTCATTGTAGCTATAGACAATACATAAACAAATGAGCAAGGCTATTCCAACAAAATCTTGTATTTACAAAAACAGATTACCAGCCTTCTGGCTATAATTTGCTGACCCCGGATTTAGATCAATCAATTCATTATGGTTGCAAAATGGGGAATTTTAGTCTTATAATTCCATCCACATAAATTAAATGGAATATGTCTATTAAACTTACATCATTTATTTGGATATTATGAGGATATCATTCATGGAAGAAAGCTTAAATGCTTGATTCTTTTCTTTATTTACCAATTTTCAAAATAATGAATTGGCTTAATACCATCCTCCAAAAATATTTATGGACAGTTTTTTTGTTACTGTTTAGTATCATAAATCCAAGAATTAATACATATTTGATGTTTTATTACATTACACTAATTATTCTTATTGATTCTTGATTTGTCCCATCATTGGCTGTATAGGAGCCTCATCAAATGGTCTCCTGACTCTTTATTGCTTGATAGCTCTCTTGGATTTTTAAAATTTCAAAATGTTCCAGGCTCATCTTCTATATTATCTACCCCCAATATGGAGTCAGTTATCTTTTAAGTGCCTGGGTTCCTTTTAGTGGGAAATGATATTTAGAGACTATAATCTGAACGCTAGAGTGCTCACCTCTACTGGGTTAATTCGTTCTTTCTACATCTTTTTGGCATAGATAGGAACTGCCTTATTAGTAGTATTAAAGATAAAATCATTAGTTCATAATTGATACTTCCTGCCAAAATTCAGGACAAATGGTGTTTTTATTTACTTTGTCTTTACTGTCTTAAGTCTGTCTCTCCTCTATATCACAACAAAACCCTAGTTTTCCATGTCATTAACAAAATAACCCATTTGTTTTATCCTACAGCACACATACAAGAGTCTCAGAATAATAATACAAACACTTACCACTATAATCATTACTGATAGTATTTGAGTTACTTGCATTTCTTTTTTCTTACCCTCAGGTGAAGTATAGTCAATAATACATTATAAGGTTGTTTGGATTGGTTTCTCTCTGGGTGGCAGTGCCACCAACTTGATATAAACTTAGGTTCATTTATCGCATGTTTTAAGATTTATTTCTTTATTTTAGAGAGAGAGAGAGAGAGAGCATGTGAGTGGGGGAAGGGACAGAGGGAGAGAATCCTCAAGCAGACTCCCTGCTGAGCATAGAGCCCAATGTGAAGCTCAATCCCACCACCCTAAGATCACAATCTGAGCCAAAATCAGGAGTCAAACTCAACTAACTGAGCCACCCAAGAGCCCCTGTATTTTTTATTTATTTATTTATTTTAAATATTTTATTTATTTATTCATGAGAGACAGAGGGGCAGAGACACAGGCAGAGGGAGAAGCAGGCTCTGTGCAGGGAGCCCAACGCAGGACTCGATCCTGGGACTCCAGGATCATGCCCTGGGCCGAAGGCAGGTGCTAAATCGCTGAGTCACCCAGGGATCCCTGCTTGTATTTTTAAAAAATTATTAGAGATTGCTTTTAAGAAATGTTCCTTTATAAATATATATGTGGAATACATCATTTTTTATACACGTCATTCTTAAAGTCAAATCCATAAAACAAAGTATGTTCAGAGAAATCCCCTTCACCTTATTCCTTTCTTCTACCATAGGCAGCCACTTTCTTTTAATTTTATAGTTTATACTCCATTTATTAAAAATACAAATATATTTGTGTGTGTGTCTGTGTGTGTACATATATACATATATATTTCCCACTTAAATACAAATGACAGCATACTATACATACTGTCTTAACCTTGTTTTCTATTTAATGAAATATCTTAAAGATGACTTCTTAGTAGTATGGAAATATTTCTCATTCCTGCATAGCACTGTATAATGCTCAATCTGCTCTATGAATTGCTATTTAGAAACATCTTGATAGGCTATTAAAAATACAGTTGACCCTTGAACAACATAGGTTTGAACTGCACAGTTCCATTTTATACATAGATTTATTTCGATAAGTACATCTTTACATTATCATTAAGTTTTTTTTATCATTAAGGTTTTAACTACTAAAGCTTAGTTGTTACGTTTTAGGGGAGTCAGATGTTACACATGATTTTTTAGTGCATGGGTTTCAGGGAGGGTCAGTATCCCTAACCCCCACATCATTCAAGGATCAACTAATAAGCTCCCGAGGATAATGGTGATGATTTAAATCACAATCTTTTGATAAATTCTCTAGAAATAAACAGATCAAAAAGGAAACCAAACCAACCCACCCATAATTCATGTTTAAATATTACTGGGAGTCAAAAATACCACAGATTTCAATTACATGTTGTCTACTTGTTCAGATATAAAGGTCTGAAACCATTAGAGCTAGTTCCTAACTCATACCAGAATAATAGTTTTATGTGGGTAGAAATTGCATTTAAACAGGGGAGGGCAATGGGGGCCTAACACAATCAAAATCACCTCCAGGAAAAGATAGTCCAATTTAGAGTGGGAAATACTGAGAACAGAGCTAAGACCTACTTGATTAGAGCATTGACTACTGAGGAATCCAAAGGAAGAGAGTAAATTGAAAGTGAGAGAGACTAGGGAGAGCACTCTTGAGAAGATAACTGTCTTTGGGGAAGGGTAGATCTATGTTAAAGGAGAAAAAGGAAGCAGGGGTTGTAATTCAGAATTATACAGAAACAGAAGAGAATCATAAAGTCAAAAGGCACACCAGTCTTCTCATCCTATCCCAACAGGCTCATCTACTAAAGAAACTGCATTTCACTATGTCAACAGAAAATTCATAACCCGAGATCCCTGCCAGAATAGAACCTCCTGTTTTTGCTGGTCCAGGAAAATATAAGACATTTCAAATTATTGAGAAACAGCAGTCAACATCTGTTAAAAGGTTCTATATGATGAAAAACCAAAGATGAGGATAAAACCATTTTTACTACTGAAAATTCTGCCAAAATCAATGACTAACCAGAAGAAAACTCTTGCACAACAACCCAATTTGAATTAAATAAGTATTGACAGGTATGAAAAAAGCACCATGAATCATAAATTCTAAAAGTCAGACTAGAAATGTACAATATACGGGAAGATGTGAAAATAGAATTGTCCAAGCTCAAGAAAAAAATTAAAGACAAAATAATCTCAATTGCAGACTCAATTCTAGGATGCCCAATGGACAGTAGGTGTAACTGAAAATATAGTAAGGGACATTGAGAAGAGAAATAAAAACAACCAAGAGAATAAAAATAAATATTAGGAAAGGTTTAAAAGTATCAGAAAGGAACTGTTAGATATAGGACATAGTCAACAAAGATTCAGTGCATATATGTGAATGTATATATGCATGTATAATTAGAGCCTCTGAAGAAGACGAACTAAACAATGAAACAACTAATACTTATAAGAAAATTTTCCAAAAATTAAAGGAGACTTGAAATGAGGCTACTGCAACTAAGGACCTGG